ATCAAATAGCCACTGCTCCCCATAGTCTAGTCAGGGGTTGCTCTTCCTCATGTGTTTGGGCAAAGCAGGGTCATTATTGCTCAGCTTGTTGGGGTGGGGCAGGCACTTATCTGAGGACTGTCCCAGAACCCTAAGGTAGTTGATGATATGCTTTGTGTGAGCACACAGCTCTTGAGAGTCACTCTGGTGGAGACAAAAACACCTGGCTTCAGTTTCCAGGCTGCCTAATGCTTTAGAGAGCGACAAAGGCAATGGTAAGGCTTATTGGTTTATCAGCAGCGGAGACATCTGGCATCAGGCATGACGGATGGTGGAGGCACCTCCACACACACCCCTGGAAGAGGCCTTTTCCTTCTGGCGGCTGTCAACTTGCAGTAACCATAGGATACTCACAAGCATCAGCACAGGAAAAATAGGATGGAGGAGTTAAGTAAAAGCTCAGAAAAGTGATAGACTTCCCTCTAGTGAGTCCTGTCTCCCCTCTCATCAGCAAAGATAGTGAGTTGACAGATGTTTGTGATTCCAGCTGTGTGCACAGCCTGAGCAGTAGTTGAGAACATTGTGTTCTACACCTGCTCATCATGTTCAGAAGGGTGAGAGTGTTGTGTTAAGTTACCATCTCTCTTGAGGGAGGGGTTGGGTGGCAGATTTCTATTTGAAAGCTTTGACCCTGCTTGGGAGTACATGCTAATAGGTGTGCTGATTTTTCCTTAGACAATCAGATCTTCTAAAACAACAAACAAAACCCCAAACCAAAGTAACAGAGGTCATAATAGTGCTCTCCCCACTCAGTTCTCCATTTCTGTTAAATTGAAGTTACCATCAAGTTAGTGGGTTAATTACTTTACACTGATGTAACCAAATTTCTGACAGAAACCACTTCCTAGGCTCACAGTTCGGGGGTTTGGTCCACAGTTACTTAGCCCCATGCCCTTGAAGGAAAGAATATCATGGTAGCAGGAGTGTGCTTGCCAGTGCGAGAGAGGGACAGGGATCAGGCATACTCTTCAGAGGCATGTTAATTAGGCTCCTTGTTGTGGCCAGAAGCCCTGCAGGATGGAAGGGTTTATGCTGGCATATAGTTCATGGTGGGCAGCAGGAGCAAGAGACTGCTTTCCTGGTCACATTACCCACAATCAAGGAACAGAGTGAACAGGAAGTCAGGCCCAGCTGTAAAACCCTAAGGCCTACCCCCAATTACTCACATCTAATGAAGCTCCACCCCCTAAAGGATCCACAACTTGCTAAGCAGTACTGTCAACAGGGGTGGGGAGGGCAAGGGTTCAAACACGTGGCTTGGGCCTGTGGGAAGCTTTACCAAAGCAAAAAGGTGTCTCTCCCCCATCCCCCTTGACTTCCTTCCTTCAGCTAAGTCTCTCATTTCTTTGCATGGCTACAATCTTCCAAAATAATGCTTCCAGCTTGAGATCAAGCTGTTGATACAGATTTTTTAATCAGGCTTTAACAGTAGGACTGAGAAACCAAGGGACATTTGGGTCTTGTTTGACATTGAAACCCAATGTAATTCAAGGACAAACATTGTTTAGCTTAAGTAGTGTCCACTTTTTGGCAAATCATCTAACTGACACAATTTGAACAACTCTGCCAACTTAAATGTTCTTGGGGGAAAAATAAAAAAAAAACACGAAGAATATATCCATGAATTAGTTCATGTGTAGCTGGATCCTGATTTGGGACTGAAGTAGTAGCCATCTTGGCAGCCTATTTGTGGGCTAGTTGTTGGTAGCTCAGTCAGATGCCGAATTCATTCTTTCATCTCATGAGCATTTAGAAGGTGGTTAGTGTGCGCTATCTGTAGTGCTTACTAAATTATTTACGTTAAAAATGCTAGTACTAAGACCCCACCTCAATCCTAGTGAATTGGCATTCTCAAGGGGTCTGTTCCAGAATATTTATTTGGTGGTCCTGGGCGTGGAACCCAGGGGCCTCATACAAACTAGACATCCCTACCCCAAGAAATGTGATTGTAAGCATCCTTCTTCAGGAGTGCCCTAGGAATAAAAGGTAAGCCCCCTGTGTGTGTGAGAGTGGGTGTGAGCCTACTGTGTGTGTGAGTGTGTGGGCCTGAGCCTATTGTGTGTGTGAGTGGGCGTGAGCCTGAGCCTATTGTGTGTGTGAGTGGGCGTGAGCCTGAGCCTACTGTGCGTGTGAGTATGTGGGCTGAGCCTACTGTGTGTGTGAGTGTGTGGGCTGAGCCTACTGTGTGTGTGAGTGTGTGGGCTGAGCCTACTGTGTGTGTGAGTGTGTGGGCTGAGCCTACTGTGTGTGAGTGTGTAGGCTGAGCCTACTGTGTGTGAGTGTGTGGGCTGAGTCTATTGTGTGTGTGAGTGTGTGGGCTGAGCCTACTGTGTGTGTGAGTGTGTGGGCTGAGCCTACTGTGTGTATGAGTGTGTGGACTGAGCCTACAGTGTGTGTTTTTAGTGAGTAGGCTGAGCCTACTGTGTGTGTGTGAGTGAGTGGGCATGAGCTTGAGCCTACTGTGTGTGTGAGTGAGTAGGGTTATTCAAGTTAATACTGATACCCGGGAGAGGAAGGATTCTCACCTCTTTATGCTCTATATCAGAGAGCATGAGAAATGTGCAGTCTCCCATAGACTATGTATGATGCTGTGTCAGGACAGCGAGCATTAGATGTAGAGTGAGTGACACACTACCCCACATGTGCCCTGCATGCCCCCATCTCCCGAGCACTGGGTTACAGGAATGTACTGCCCCACTTAGGTTGTACAGTGGTGTGGAGGATTGAACCCACGGTTTCGTACATGCTACTGAAGGACCCCCACCCTGAGCAGCACCCATAGCTCAACATTCTCTGGATGAGTCTTTGCCGGTCTTCTGAGGGCACAGCCTCAGTTGGTGGAATGGTGGTGGAAAATTCTTGGGCTTACATTCAGGAAACAGCCCAGTAAAAGGCTGACAATGTACTTAGCCTTTCGGACCTTTGTTTTCCCCATTTATATAAGCAAATGATCGAACAAAATAGTATATATATCTTATAAGCTGCTTAGCATTGTGCCTGGCCTGTGGCCAGTGCTCAGATGTGGTATTTTGGTATTTATTTTTACTAATAGTTATTGACCTTCATGGGTATGTCCACGGAGGGATCTCCCTCAAGCACCAACTCTGCTGTGTGATCTGCTTCAGCTCCCGTGGGGTCTGCACCACCACTCTAGAAGTCTGCACATCTGAGATCCAGGCTGCAATTCTCAACCTGAGCTCATTCTTTTTTGTAGCTTTAATTGGCTTTATAAAAATCTTCACATTATTTGGATACTTCCTGCTGCCCACTTTCAGTCACATTTCCAAATGAACACATTTGCAATGTCTTGCCAAGAGGCTCGGAGCAGAGATGTAGGAGACGACAGGGAACAAGAGTCTCAACAGAGAGGGGACAGTTAGGTTAGCCTTCTTGGTTTTCTTGAGAGGCTGAGAAAGTCTCAGCAAGAAGACAGGAGCAGAGGCTCTCTACTGGGGGAAGTATTGGGGAGTAAAGGTGCTGAACTCAAGAGACATCTGAGAAATACTTAGCATCGTCAAATATCATGTTATTGGTCAGGGATGAAACCATCAGCTGGAGTTGGAACTGATGGCCAAGGTCATTCATTTAGCCCACAGTCCTCAGCCAGACCTGAGCCTGCTCGGTAATGTCAGAGCTTGGAATCTAGGCTTGAATGACAGCATATGGCATTTGATTTGGTAACCTCTGAAGTATGACAGATGTTTCTTTAGGTCGTATGGCCACCCTATTGACATTTCCTGCTCTCCTGCCTTCACGATCTGCCTGCTGCTCATCTGGAGTGCAGATGGCACAGTGAATCCTGTGCTACCGACATCCAGCGTGCTTGGAAACCTCGATCAACTCCCATGCTCCTACATTCTAATCAGAGAGAGCATGCAAATTCCCTCTCTTCCTTGGCTAGCACCCTGCCCCTAGTGAAAGATGTTGTGCAGGTTGTGTGTGTGTTAGGGTGTGAGGGAAAGGTACATGTAAGTGGGGTAGAGTTTAACTTAAATTTTTTTCTTTTAATTGTACAAATGTGTGAGATGCTGTATGTTAATTCAGTTTTATTCACAACATGTAGTGACCAAATCAGGGAAGTTAATATTTCCATAAACATAAAAAACATTTTTGATTAACAAATAATTGTGTACATTTGTGGACTACAGTGTGATGCTATAAGACATGCACACAAAATGTACCGATTTAAACAGCATGATTAAGGCTTACATCTACTGATGATGTCCTGACGCTCCTCTTTTCTAGCTCTTCATAAAATATCTGTGCCTCAACAAATGCTTCAGGGTTCCCAGCAGTTTAAAGCCAACAGAGAGGAGGGCGCAAGATTCCCTTGCCATCTGTAGAAGGTTCGAGCCTCGCTCTCTTTGGAGGTAGACACATACAACGCGAAGATTTCTGCAACATGATACAGTGCAGTTTAAAATCTTGGTTCTTTTTGTTTTTTCTATTTTTCCTATTGAGCTTAGATCCAGATTTGCCCCAAGACAGAAGATACAGGAAAGGACTAGAAACAGCCTCAAGTTGCTGCCCAGCCGTGACGTTCGGTGGCCAGCAGGTGTCAGTGCGCTCTCGTTCTGTCACGGCTCAGGGCCTACGCCTCCAGGACCCTTCCCCACTGCCCTTCAAGGGGGCGCAGTGCAGACCCCAGCCCACGAACTTCCCGCAGATAGCTCTGTGGCTGTAAGGATATGTGGCTTTCTCTTCCCCAAGTATGAATAAGTCAGGCCTGGTCCGCTCACGCGCGGGTGTTGTCCATTCCGCTTCAGCGGTTCCATAGGAACCTGCACATGCTTATCTCTCCAGGATCTTTTTCATCCCGGCCACCACCAGGAACACCTGCCTGGCTGGGGCGGGGCTGCTTCGCCAGCGACCCCTACACGACGCTGCGGCTCCGTCTCCTAATTCGGGTCCCAGCACCCTGGTACCCTTTACTGCTAGAACCCAGTTAGATCGGTGTACTCCTGGGTGTTACTGTCTCCTGGCCCGCCCGGAGCTGCGCGGCCAACTCCCAGCAGGGGCCGCTCCCCACTCCTTAGGCTCTCTCTTAAAGCCCCTTGTTCACGGTACCTGCCTTCCCAAAAGGCCAGTACAGCCTGCGAGGCAGCGCTCTCTGGGGTCCGAGGCGAGTGCGGGCTCTAGACCTGAGTAGGGAAGGCGCGAGGGGCGGAGGAGGGTCGGCTTCCCACGTGGGGGCTGACGCTGGCTGCTCGGCAACGCCGGCTTCATCCTGGGACTATAAAACCAGTGCACAGTAGAGCGGCGGAGCAGCGCTTCTGTGCAGACGCCCAGCAGCCGGTGCACGCCGCCCAGCCAGCCCAGCGCCTTCAGCCCCAAGTCCTGCTAAAACTCCAAAGGTCTTCGGACCCCTGCCGGGTCTGCTGCGTTCAGAGCCCACCCAGCTGGCGGTTAGCAGCCACCCTTGCTTGGCCGCGGCTTCCGGAGAGTCAATCGCTCACCTAGCTTGGCCCTGAGGACGGGAGGGGGGGGTGCCTTCATGCGGCCCCCACACCCTTCATCCCGCCGCTGCCGCCCCCCGAGCTCAGTGCGCTGCGTCCCAGCCCCAGCAGGGCGCACAACTTTGGAAGTCCCGTGGCTCTCCAAGAGGAAGCAGAGTCTGCGCCCTCGCCCGAGGTCCGGCCCAGCCCGCTCCACCGCTCCTGGGGGGCAGCAACAGAATCGGAAATCGCTTCGAGGGTATAAGAAGACCGACCTAGGACCCTGAACCCTCACCAACACCCCTTGGCTGCCTTTTGGGGTAAGACTTCCTGCTTTCTCTCAGCTCAAGAGTCAAGGTATAGATGTCTATTTAAATACATTTGTATAATTTTCTGACATCTTTCCAAGTCATCAGGCCACCGATGATTTCTTTTCTTTTTTCTTGAAGAATTAAATCTCTAACTGCCAGCTGGCCCTACTCTATCCTGCCTCTTAGAAACAAACTTGGCTGGGTTGGGGAGCTGGAAAAGAGAAGGCACCCACCCAGAGCGGTGGACCAGCCCGTGCCAGTTCGTGGGCACTAGTTCATGGACAACTAGCGGTCCCCCAGCTTGGGCCTGGGCTCCCTATGTGAGGCACGGCGGGACGGTCCGCGTGCCGGAGGAAGAGGAGGACCCACGGACGCGGGGCCGGAAGGCAGCTGGCAGCAGGCCCAGGAGAACCGGCACCCGCGTTCATGTTCCGCCAGGAGCAGCCTCTGGCTGAGGGCAGCTTTGCGCCCATGGGCTCCCTGCAGCCGGACTCTGGCAACACGAGCTGGAACGGGACTGAGGCGCCCGGGGGCGGCACCCGGGCCACCCCTTACTCCCTGCAGGTGACACTGACTCTGGTGTGCCTGGCTGGCCTGTTGATGCTGTTCACGGTGTTTGGCAACGTGCTGGTTATTATTGCAGTGTTCACCAGTCGTGCACTTAAAGCGCCCCAAAACCTCTTCCTGGTGTCTCTGGCCTCAGCGGACATCCTGGTGGCCACGCTGGTCATTCCCTTTTCTTTGGCCAACGAGGTTATGGGCTACTGGTACTTTGGTAAGGTGTGGTGCGAGATCTACTTGGCTCTCGACGTGCTCTTTTGCACGTCGTCCATAGTGCACCTGTGCGCCATCAGCCTGGACCGCTACTGGTCCATCACACAGGCCATCGAGTACAACCTGAAGCGCACACCACGCCGGATCAAGGCCATCATCGTCACCGTGTGGGTCATCTCGGCCGTCATCTCCTTCCCGCCCCTCATCTCCATAGAGAAGAAGGGCGCTGGAGGCGGCCAGCAGCCGGCAGAACCAAGCTGCAAGATCAATGACCAGAAGTGGTATGTCATCTCGTCGTCCATCGGTTCCTTCTTCGCGCCTTGCCTCATCATGATCCTGGTCTATGTGCGTATCTATCAGATTGCCAAGCGTCGCACCCGCGTGCCGCCCAGCCGCCGGGGTCCAGACGCTTGTTCCGCGCCAGCTGGGGGCGCCGATCGCAGGCCCAACGGCCTGGGCCCGGAACGCGGAGCGGGCCCCGCAGGAGCCGAGGCCGAGCCTCTCCCCACCCAGCTTAACGGTGCCCCGGGGGAGCCTGCGCCCGCTGGGTCCCGCGACGGGGATGCACTGGACCTAGAGGAGAGTTCGTCGTCCGAGCATGCCGAGCGGCCCCCGGGACTCCGTAGACCCGAGCGCGGTCCCCGGGCCAAGGGCAAGACCCGGGCGAGCCAGGTGAAGCCGGGAGACAGTCTGCCTCGGCGCGGGCCTGGGGCCGCGGGGCCTGGGACTGCTGGGTCCGGGCCTGGAGAGGAGCGCGGTGCCAAAGCGTCGCGCTGGCGCGGGCGGCAAAACCGCGAGAAGCGCTTCACGTTCGTGCTGGCAGTGGTCATCGGCGTGTTCGTGGTGTGTTGGTTCCCGTTCTTTTTCACTTATACACTCATAGCGGTCGGCTGCCCCGTGCCCTACCAGCTCTTCAACTTCTTCTTCTGGTTCGGCTACTGCAACAGCTCGCTGAACCCGGTCATCTACACCATCTTCAACCACGACTTCCGCCGCGCCTTCAAGAAGATCCTCTGCCGCGGGGACAGAAAGCGCATCGTGTGAGCTAGTGGGATGTGCCCTGCTTACAGACGCTTGTTTGATGCAGGGCCCGGGCTTCGAGGGGGCGCGTCTGTGCATGCAGCCCCAGCACTCTGAAACCCAGGACCTACCTGCTCCGTGTGTTATCTAACTAGGAGGGAGCCCCGTGGTGTTTGAGGGCACCTTTTGTTACATGTGTAAAGTTCTGGCTGAGAGGGACAATGCGCCTTTTGGTGGTTGTTTCGGTTGCTCTCCACCCACAGCCATTTTCTAGGGGCTACCCGATCAGTATTGTTTCCTAAAGACATTGCCACCCTCTCCACCAGTCTGACTCTCCCAAACTCTTCAGAGCAAGCGCAGTACTAGAGAAGGCATGGCTGCCAAAGGGTTAATGAATCAAGGTTTCCTAGCCCGGGCTAATTAACACTTCCCCAACCCCCCCCCCCCCCTTTAAAAATCCATTCAGGGCAGCCCTGCCTGCTCTCCCCACCCCCACTGTAAATATACATTATTTTTGATATCATACTTTGAAGTCTTCAGTGTTGGCATTGGTGTGATGTTGAAATCATGGCCGTGGAGATGCTCTCCAGTGGCTAACCTGGTCCAGACCAAGCTCCTTCTCGAAGCAAGCCCTTTTCTAGTATTATGTCGCTGTCAGTGCTTTTTACCAGTAACTGGTGACAGTCCCTTGGACACAGACCTGCTTTGAGATTTCCTGACAGGGAAAGGGTTTCTGTTCATGTTCCTCCCCCTCCTCCCACCCGTGCCTGACAGCATAATTGCCTTTTCCTATGTAAATATTAGAGCGATGGACCAAGACAGAAGGAAATGAACCTTCCGCCTTGCATCAGCCCTGTGTATGAAGCCATTATCTTCTGAGGCACCGCTTGCCCCAGTAACTCACTTTGAAACCGTCTCTGTGGATCCCCACTACTCTGGGGCCAAGGCTTGGAGAAGAATATGTATGTTTCTAGATTGTATGTGTGCCGCCCCTCCCCCAGAAAGAGCCATCTAAGAGGGAATCTTTCAGCTGCTGATTTTAGCCACACAGGAGTGGAAATTATGCGGAAGAAACAAACCTGATACAATTTGCACAAGGTAAACAGTGAGAAGACAAATGGGCCTGCCACACTGTACAGTGCCAAACCCCAAGAGCTCTTAGGTAGGAAAGTGTTCCCTCCCCCCTGCTTTTCTGGTTGAGATCATGTCACTAATGAATTGCCAGAGTCAGGGAGGAAGGCAGAGACTTTGTGTTTACAGCAGGGTTTCTACTTATTTTGGGTGGATAGGAAGGCCTGTGCTCTGATTTAGAAAACTAAATGTCAGCACTTGTTGCTTATGACAGTGGATTTTTTTTTAAAAAAATAAAGTTTACAGATCAAATGTGAAATAAACATGGATTAAGTGGCTCTCCTGTCTGGTGATTGAAGCTTCAAGTCTTTGAACTCTGGGATTCCCTATAAGCTACACATTGTAAATTGTCTCTACACCCCTGCACAATAACAAACTGCAAAGCGTGTGTTCCTCCCATGCCAGCCACGAGGTGACTGTCCTAAGCATTGCCTTCTTGACTCTTTCCAAGAGCGCTGTGCGGTAAGTGCTGCTGTTAGTCCCGTTTTACAGGTAAAGAAACACAGTGCACAGGGCAGCTGGCTTTCCCAGGGCTAAGCGGTGTGTGAGTTCATCATATTCCATTTCATCTGGTCGAAGGGTCTGTGCCCTTAACCCCAGAGTTTCCATAGTTGTGGTGTTGACACGCCTCTGAATGTACGAGCATTGCACACACAGTGTAGATACCCTGAGTGTGCAATACGCACGTACCTGAATGTGTCTATATGCCCCGAAGCACTTATCTATCCCAAAGTGTGATATGTGCATATGAAAGTCTGGAATACACTTGAAAAAGTACATCGTATGGTAAAATGGGCTAACAGCAATGCTGAGCTTGCTAGAGGCACCGACTACTATGTTAGTTGGTGGCTTAGATTCTCGACAGAACATGCATCCTTGTTGTAGGTCTCTCGCGTCAACATCTGCCCTTCACTTCTGAGGGTTCGAGACCCTCACAAAGAAGGTTATAGATGATAGTACTTTAATTCGCCAAGAGCCTTAGGAACCTGGCAATCCCACCTTACCACACAGCTGAGGAGACAGGCCTGTGGAAGTAACGTGCTTGGGATCCCACAGGTGTGGACAGTGGAGCACTGGCTTCCGGCTGCCCTGGGGTAGGGAGCTAGCTTCTGGGCCCTATGTAGGATTGTGAGGAAGGCCTCCTGTGGTCGCTGCGTGAAGAGACCTTGGTGTGGAGAGAGAGGGTTTGAGGGATAAATACAAATGACAGAATGTGCTTTCGGTGGGAGAGAAAATTTTGTAAGTACGGCCACTACGGCCATCTGTAGCTTGTGTGACCAACTCTGCGTGCTCCAACAGTGGATGCTAAGTGCCTTCTGGATGCTCTGGCAGCATCATGCCTATGGTGAGGGTGTGTGTGCAAGGATGGGCAGTAGGTGGCCCTGGGAGGAGACCCAGGACTGGGGAGCCTAGGGGAGGAAGACAAAGGCAGGCACTTGACTCCCGTAACCCTCGTTGAGGGGCTTCACAAATCACCCCCAGTGCTGTGGTACCAAGGCTGGCTCCCTGGTTGGCTACTGAGGCTTGTTCCCACTCTACCTCACCCAGACTGCAATCTTTCTATTCTAGGGCACCCATTGCCCTAAAGGGAAATAGTGCCAGACAATAGGCCAGCTTGGCAGGCCTCCAGCACCAGAGCTGTGTGACCCAGGCATAGAGGCAGATAGACACCCAGCTCACTGTCGGCTTGAATCTGTCCCACTTGCTGTATCCACAGAGGCTAGCTGCAGCCTAGAGGGAACAGTGAAGGCAGTGGTGTGTGCAGAGGGTCTGGTATTGTGGCATCTCCCATCCAAGACACTAGCAGAGAAGTCTTAGAAATGGGTTCAGTCTAGAAAATGAGGACAAAGGGGCTGGAGCCCATGCTAGACTCCTGGGCATCTGAATTCACAGCTGGACCTGCTGTTCATTTTAAAGGGCTCAAGCCATGGTTTGTGAAGGCGTATGTGGGGGTGAGTGTGGGTGAAGATTGGAAATGGCCCTACATCTTCTGTCCATAGCCCCTGGCTCTTCTCTGAGCCAAGAGTGTTGGCACTATTTCACGCAGTGTTCTTGGGCTGTAAAACTGTTGGGTCTGACCAGATTCCTCGCTGTGAGGGCAATGGGTTTCAGGGAGGGTAAGACCCTCATTTTAGTTTGGGCAGTTGCATGATCACCTCCCACAAGGCTTTGTTCAAGGACTCAGGTAAGGTAGCAATAACATGGTTCAGACTTTCCCTTTTCCATGACTCAATTTAATCTGCATTTGAGAGCCCAGATGTAGCTTGAGCCCCTTCCGCTCCCACACTGCCTAAGCAGAGATCCTGAGAGCTGACAAGTTAGGCATCATCCCAGGCTTATTCCACCCCTGCCTTGCCCTGACTCCCTGTTGGTTACCACCTATCTATACCATAGATTCTGTTTGGCTATAGAATGTGGAAGGCTGCTGAGAACACCCAACACCGACCAGTACCTGCTCTGCATCAGGCACCGTGCTGGGTGCTGTATGGTGGTTCTCCTTTCTGGCATGCACTGTGTGGCCAGCCTTTGCTCCTGTGGGAGCTAGCAGAAGGGTCTTCGCCACCGTCAGTGAGCTTCAGAGTTGCAGAAGACAAGATGGGTCCATGCGGCTTGTTAGAAGGCCATAGAGGAGTGGCCGGAGGAGGCATGGGCACAGCAGAAGGAGAGGTTTGGGGAGGAGGTGAGGGCTGGGCTCTGAGTCCTGGCTGAGGTCAGGACATGAGAATTGACTCTAGTTCTAGCACATGAGCTGTCAGGTCGTGGACTTCTAGGCCCAGCCAAGACCTTGGCTTTGATTTCAACAGTCCATTCTTGGGGTTGGCAAGGCCAGCTCCTGTCCCCTACTCAAGATATCTGTCATAAAGGTTGTTTTCCTTATCCAGTACCCCAGAACCCCATTCTCTCCAGAACTAGGCCTCATTTACCCTACCTTGGGCCCTAGCAATCTCCAAGTGGACCCAAGGAAAGACCCTGAGGAAAGGGTGTACCTGTAGCGGGAGCCAGGCCATGTCACTGCCGTCACAAACACCATCCTCAGGAGAGGATGTGCCTGCAATGGGAGCCAGGCCATAGTACTGCACAGAGTCACAAACACCAGGGTTCGGTTTGGAAATAAGATCAATCCCTTCAATCGACAGAATCCTGGGATTTGGAGTTGGACACAGGAAAAGGAACAGGGCCTGTTGGAAAGAAAGTAGATGCACTATCAGGAAGTTGGGTTTCTAGTTCTAATTTCGCTTTTGGCTAGCTATGTGACCTTGAGCCCATGTCTTTGTGGGATTGCAAAAAGAAACTCATCGATTGGTCTAGTGTTATTTCGACATGTGTTCTGTGGAGCTAATTAAATCTGTCTCTGGTCTCCCCATGTATCTAGGTATCCATCCGTTATCTATCAAACATCCATCATAAAGCATCAACTTTAGGTCTCTCATCCACCTGTCACTACTTGTCACCTGTTACTTATTAATCTATTTATTACTTACATAGTGTCTTTCAAAAATAAATTTTGATTATAATTAAATCATTTCCCTATTCCCTTTCTCTCTCCAACCTCTTCCATGTACCACCCCTCCATGCTTTTTTGTTGTTGTTGTTTCAAATTCATGGCCCCTTTTTCTTTACATTTTGTTGTTGTTGTGGTGGTGGTAGTGGTGTTGGTGTTGGTGCTGGTGGTGGTGGTGGTGGTGTGTGTGTGTGTGTGTGTGTGTATTTCTAATTACACAAATACAGTATATTCAGTCCATATAATGTAATTTTGACAGGTCTCTTTGGTGACATGTTGTGTTGTGTTTCACAAACTGTAGTGATCCATGTTTGCAGGGACACTTGGCTCAGGGATCTCTGGGGGGCTTTTCTGCTGATCCATTTTAAGATGGTATAAAATTCTAAATCTGTTCTCTCCTGTTTCTGTTGGGCGAGGCACATGTAGGGACAGGTCCTTTTCTTATGGAGGACAGATATCCCTAGAGTACTGTACTCCTTAAGGGGTTGGAGTTGTGCTGTGATTGACAGATGTGGGTTAAGCTTGCCTGTGCACGTGTGTACACATGTGAGTATATGTATGTGATTACATGGGCATAATGGGTGTGTGTACACTCAAGTGCACATGTATGAATGAGTCTGTGCATGCATGTGCTTTCCATGTGTGTGGATACATAGGGCCACCTGACTTGTCTGGGCTGAAAGATCTAGAATATTGAAGGTGGACATGCGGGAGGACATTGCAAAGGGAGAGCCAGGGGAGCGTGAAACTGACTCACCAATTCTAAGTGCAAGGAGCCGCTTCCCAAGCTTAGAGCAGGCTTTCATAGCCAGAGAGTTGCTCTTGACCAGGGTAACAGCATGGAGCTAGATCAGCAGATATGGATGTGAGCATTTTGGACAGGAGGACACTAGTTCTCAGTGCCATTTTCTTTATCACCCATACTTTCCTGCTTTCTATGAAAGTGAAGAGTTATCCATCTACAAGGAATTCCAGGGAAAGAGGGAGACCAGACCGCTGGAGTTGCTAGTGCTCTTTCCAGCATGGTCAAAGCTAGAAATGGAGGACCTCTTTTTGCAATTTGGATTAGGAGCAAAAAGCAGATGGTACACCGAGAAGGGGTGCTGAAGGGAGACTGAAGCATTGTTCACAAGATGCAGGTAGGGTTGAGAGACACCTCTAAGGGTCAGTGGGAGCAGGGGACATTCAGCATCCTTAGGCCGAATGGGCAAGAGAGTTGCTGACCAAACTACCTCTACTGAGACCGCGAGGAAGGTGCTGGCAGGCTCCGCTGATGGGAGGCCTTAGCCAGGCTGCCTTTGGGTAGGGAGAGAAGCAGAGACTCTCCACCCTTGCCTCTTTGCTAATGCTGCTGGTGGCAGCCCTCACTGCAGACTCAGAGATGACAGAAAGCTCCTGGGGTCAGCCTTTCAGGACCCAGCTCAGGTGACCCATGGAAGAGGCAAGGGCAGAGAATTTACTATTAGACCTGAAACCAGGACGAGGCAGCACAATAGCTCTTTGGGACATGAGCTGGGGTGAGGCCACCTGCCTAACTCCCATGCTTTGACGGTGGGCCAGTCGCTGGCATCACTGAGCAGCTAACTGTAAAGAAAATAACAGATCTTTCCTTCTCTTTTGCGGATGTGAGAGACTGTCTCCATATTGTCATGAGCATGGCTCACTGTGTGTGCATTTGTGTGTGTCCACAGACATACAGACAGATAGGTGTGCACACGCCCACACATCCTCTTACTCTTCTGCAATTTGGGGAGCCCCAGAGAAT